CATCTGGGGGAGCTGAACGCAGGGCTCCGTGCCTCGCAGGCTACCTGGGGAGCCGGGGCGTGCGCCAGAAGCCCTTCCTCCAGAGAGACCGGGCTGGTTCTGAGCCAGTGCCTTTTTAGGGCTGCATCCTGTCATGACTGGCACCGGGGGGACTGCTGCCATTCAGCTTTCTGTGGAGCTGCTCCCTGGCTATTTATAGCTGGCTTATATTCGCGGTGCTTTTATGCTCAATTGTTTTCATGCCTGCACCTCTCCCTTTAGTGCAGCGGTTGCTGTTATTGCCTATTATTATTATTACTCACGTCTGGGTATTTTTTCCCCCTATTGTCCTAAATTGCCTATAAAAATCCAGCCGAGCTTTGCAATCAAGAGAAGGAAAAACACAGAAATACTGGCACAGAATGAGTGTCGGTGCCCCTACCTCTCCCACAGCCCTCCTGCAGGGCTCTGCAAGCTGGAGAAACCGTGGTTTGGAGCGATTGGCATAAGAGACCCAGGTGAAATTAGGAAGAGGGTGAGGCTACAAACCTGGGCTTTGTCCTGGATCAGGATGAAACGTCAAAACCTTGGGATATTTTGTGGAATGACCTGCCAGAAATTTGTTATGAGTGGATCCTGCCCATGGCTGTTATACTACGATCCCTGCAGCTGACAACCTGATCTAGTCAAACCACAGCACGCAGTTAATGTCTCCCAGGAATGCTGACTACATCAATAGGTGCCCCCGAAATTGGTCCGGGTGGCTGCATCACCATGCCCTGACCCAGGTCTGCTCCACGGGAAAAGTTCAGCCGGCCCCAGACATGACTCCCCCTGAGGCTGCCTAGCAAGTCAGTGGCAGAGGGAGGACCAGCCTCCTGCGTGCCGCAGTCAGGGGGTTAGCCCCTAAACCCCAGTGTCTTCACCTCAAGAGGCAAACTTGTCCGTGGGGCAATTCCCCGGATGTCACCAGCGTTACAGCAGGGGGCCCAGCTGGAGGCATGGAGCTGGCTACTTCAGGCCAGGAGGGGTCGTGGGGATCACTGAGGCTGTTTCCCTGCATAACATAGGCCCTGACCCCTCTGCTGGAGAGCCCCGCAGAAGGAGGGGAGGGGCCACGCTGCAGTGGCCTGGCTTGCTGCTGTGGGGGGAACCAGGAGCTGGGTGTGCCCTGGTCCGGCCAGTGTAACACACCTGGCTTCACTGCTGCTAGGAAAAGCCTCCCGTGGGTTAAGAGCACCCGTGCTCCTGCCCATCCCCTCTAGCGCCGGGAGAGCACAAGGGGCCGGAGCCTGGCGCTGGGAACAGACCCGGCGTCCCAGGAGCTGTGTGCACAGCTGCGGATCTGGCCTGTTGGAAGTAGGGAGGGGAATGGCTAACCAGAAACCTGTGCGGGGCTGGAGCAGCCCCTGTTGAGGTGGGCCCAGGCACCCCACAGGCAGGGGCTGCTCTCACCTGGAAATGGGGCCCTGCTGAGGGCTGGCCGGGCACCCTACAGGCAGGGGCTGGGAATCCTGGGGGCTGCTCCGGCCGGACTGGAGCAGTCACCAGCCTGGGTCCCGCTTTAGCCAATTAACTGGTTAAGCGAACGTTTAACCAGTTAACAGAGTAACTGGGCTTTCATATCCCTAGTCTAAAGGCTTTAGCCCTGAGCCAGGGGGCTGGACCGATGCGCATAGAGGGGAGGCTGAGGGCCACTGGACCAAACTGTAACCCTGTGTAGGACGGAAACCTCTTCAAGCCGGGGTGCTACCGCACCCCCACCCCGATTTTCAGCTCTTGTGCCCGTTGGCTGGGTCTACACTGCAGTGCAAAGCTAACTCGGGCTCAAGCCTCCCCTCTCTTATGTCTACACACACAGTGCGCTAACCCAGGGCGCAGACGCAGGTCTCAGGACCCCATGGGGGTGGAGGGTCTGAGCCTGCGTCGAGCAGGGACCCAGGGCTCAAGCCCTCTAGCTCTGCCGTGTCGTCTCAGCCATGCTGGGCTCCGGCTCCGGGAGTTTTCCAAAAGTATCGCCTGGGTGCTCCGGTCAGTCAGAGCAAAGGGCTAGAGCGGCCACCTGTGGGGAGGCTGCAGGAATTCTGGGATGGGGTGGCTGCACTCGTGCCCACATAATGCAATGCACACTTTGGTGCCCCCGGCCGGGACCCAGGGTTCAACAATTCCTGACCGGGGGGTCTAACTGAGCATAGCCGCTCGAGTCTTGTGTTAAACCCAGGGGCTGCACCACAATCCACCACTGCTGGGCTGACCCTGCCCGTAACCCTGCAGCTGATCCATGGCAGCTGGCTATGGGGCTCTGTAATCGCAGTGTAGACATTCGGCGCGGCCGGGAGTCCTCGCTCTGGCACCCGGAAGGGATCCCAAAGCTCAGGCTCCAAGCTGAGCCCGCATGTCTGCACAGCAAGGTTAGAACCGCACAAACCTGAGCCCCATGAGCCCAAGTCAGCTGATGGGGCCAACCGCAGGGGTTTAGTGGCAGTGTAGACTTACCCTGGCAAGCATCAAGTAACCCTGTGGTGGAGCTGACTTTTGTGTGGGGTGTGTGAGAGAGACCCCTGTTCCTCAGCCTCCTGGCAATGTCTCTCTCTCCCAGCCCCTCCCTCTGCGGGGCGGTTGCGTTCTGCAGGTGCCGCATGATCCAGCGGTTGATGAGCATCTGAACTGGGGGTAGGCCTGGCTGCCCCTGGCTGGTTGGACGGGCGCGTAGGTCCGGGTTTGGAATTCCCTGCCCTGCTGCTTTCCCGGGGGATTCGCGCAGGTGGCTTCCCACAGTTGCTTTCCCCGTTCCCTCTGTCCTGGGCTTTGCAGGAGACTGAACAAGGAGGAGACTTCCCAGGGGTTTAATGCACGGCCGGCCTCTTCCAGGCCGCAATGTGGGGGCTGCGTTTTACAAGCCAGGCAGTTATATAAAAATCCCCTGGATCCTTCCTATAATGTATATGCTAAGGCGTGTGAGGAGGCAATCATTCGTGAGCTGGCGGCTCCCCCAACCCCTGTTTCCCAGGCCTGGACGCTGCCTGTGCAGCTCTGCCACAGGACCTCAGTCCCAACCCATAGCCCCTGCCAGCGCCCTCGAGCCTCGGCCGGACCCCCTGCACCTACAGCTCCACTCCAGCAGTGCTGCCCGCTATTGGTGGTGGGAGAAGGTAGGGCTGGGAGAGGCAAGTCCCCAGCCCTGCCCCCTTCTGACCAGGCTCCGCCCCCACAGCAGCCAAGCCACTCCCCTCCCCCCAGCACCACAGGGAGGTGGGGCACTGCGCGGCCCCAGAGTGCATGGGCACTGGGGGCAGCCACACCGCCCCCAGTGTTCTGGGGGTGGAGTGTAGGCAGGGCCAGGTTGGCGGTTTGGGAAGGCAACGCCCTCCCCCGCCTCGCATACATGCTGCTCACGCTCTTACTTTGCTCCTACAGGAGCAAAGCATAAGCCACCACATGCCTGGGGTTGTGCGCCACGGAGCCACCCAAACCCGCTGATCGGAGAAAGTGAGGCCCAGTTCCCCTGTTACCCTCTCCCGTCCGGCCTTCGCTTCCCCACGCTCAGACCATCTCTCGCGTACACCCGCCAGTAGCTCCAGCTGCAGCCTCGGTACCTGGATGTGGGGCGTCGCTGGAAGGTGGAAAGCCAGCCTAGGCACCGTGTGGGCAAGTCGCCCGGCCCCTGTGTGGCCAGCCCCAGCTGCCTCTGCTCCCCCCAGCACGGAGCCGAGCCATTTGGCACCCCTTTCTTTCTGGGGGTATGTCTACACTACCCCGCTAGTTCGAACTAGGAGGGTAATGTAGGCATACCGAACGTGCAAATGAAGCCCGGGAAATTCAAATCCCGGGCTTCATTTGCACGTTCGGTATGCATACATTACCCCGCTAGTTCGAACTAGCGGGGTAATGTATGCATACCGAACGTGCAAATAAAGCCCGGGAAATTCAAATCCCGGGCTTCATTTGCACGTTCGGTATGCATACATTACCCCGCTAGTTCGAACTAGCGGGGTAATGTATGCATACCGAACGTGCAAATAAAGCCCGGGAAATTCAAATCCCGGGCTTCATTTGCACGTTCGGTATGCCTACATTACCCTCCTAGTTCGAACTAGCGGGGTAGTGTAGACATACCCTGGCTGGGCTTGCCGCATCGCTGAGGAAATGCGATGCTGTCCGCAGCACAGGTGGAGCCCACGGATACCGTGTCTGGGCAGCTTTGCTGGCTCAGCTGCCCTCGGACTTCCTGTGCAAGGACATGTGGAGGAGGAGGGGTGCTTGTGATGCTCTGGGGGGGATGGGCCAGTGGATGGGGGGCCAGCTGTGGGGCAGAGAGCACTGTGCTTGCTTCCTTGCACCATTGTCTTGTGTGACCGTGGGGTCTCTGGGCCTCAGTTTGCCACCAGTGAGAAGGGGAGAATTGTTCTTTACCTCGCTTGCCTGCTAGAGCTGGGGGGTCGGACTGCGCTCCGGCTCAGCACCATACGGTACTTGGGAGGAGTCCCCTTCCCTGGGGCAGGTCCTTGGGGGGTGGGTAAGCCATTGGCTTGTCTGCCTCCTGGAGCGCACCTCTCTGAGCCTTCAGCCGGCCTGACTCTTGCCATGGGCCCTGCAGGGAGGCTGCTGGCTCTGGGTCCCAGGGCCTCCACTCCCAGAGGGAATAGGGCAGCCTCCTGTCTAGACCAGAGCGACTCTCTGCCCGTGTAAAGCAGAAGGGCTCATTGAGCATCTGAACCCAGCTCAGGAGCCACCCTCGGGTCTAGCGGCCCTCCGCCCCACACACCTAGGTCTCTGGCTGGCGGGGGGTGCTGGCTGCTCTTCCCCAGCATTCACGACTGCCCCCCCTTCCAGCTGGGCATCCGATATCCCGCTCTGTCCTTTGTCTTCTGTCCCTCAGCCTCCTGTCCTGGCAGCCTCTCCTCCCGTCCCTCCTTTGCCTCCCCACTGGCTGGAACTGGCCCGTCAGGTCACCGGGCACCGCTCGCTGCAGCTCAGGGTCTCCTCAACCTCCCGCTGGCTGTGACTTCCAAGCTGGGCTTTCTGGTCCCCACCTCCGAGGTATCCATGCGCCAGGCTGTTCGCTGGCCCCCTGTAACAGCCTCCCTCTTCCACCGCCTCATTAAGCCCTAACACAAAAGGAAACAGCCCCCAGCCCTCGGCGTGCCAATCAGTGCCCACAGCAAGAAACACCCCCACACGCACACACTTCATCCGAGGCCACGCGGTGCCCCTGGCAGGTGGGAAGGGGATGCATGTTTCTGTTTTGATCAGAGCCGACTTCCTTCCAGAATGGAGGGCTCCTTGTGGCTCTCACGTGACTGGGAATGGTGCATGTCCTGCAACGCCAGCCTCCTCCAGTGGACGCAGGCCGGCCCGTTCTTCCCCCACCGCACCACCAGGGGTGGGGACATGGACTTGCCCATGTGCACCGTGGGCGACGCTGCCTTCCCCTGGCTAAGGAAGCCCTGCCCGGGACACCTCGCCCTCACCTGCCTGGACATCGGAGACCAGAACATCCTGTTGGCGGTGGTGGCCTGATGTGGGGAAGTGCCCACAGGGGCCCCATCCTGTTTCGATTTGGACGGGAGGCTCCGAGGGCTGCGCTGTTTCTTAAACCAGCAGCTGCCTGCCTGCAGGTGGCCCACGCTCGGGATTCTTTATCCAGCAGTGTGCACTGTGCCCGGGGCCCCTGGGAGCGCTGCGCCATTGGTTGGGGAGGCCAAAGAGGTGCAGGGTGACCTACGGTGGGTACTGCTGATGCAGGCCTGAGTCTGCAGCTAGTTCTGCCGACTGCCCGCCAGCACAGACAGGCCCCTCTGAAAATCTGGCCCCCACAGAGTGCGCTGGGGCTTGTCGGGGCAGATAAACGGCTCCTCCCACCTGGCGCATGTGGGAGTCAGCACATCAGCAGCCATGGAGCGGCCTGAGATGGGCCATGGGGGTGCCTGGGCCTGCAGGAGACCCCTTTGAATGGCCTCGTCCTTTCAGATCCATGGGCAGTCTCCCCGTCCTCGATCCAGAAGCCAGACCTGCCAACCTCATACATGAGGCGGAATTCCTGGGTGCAAAGCCCCCCCTTTTGGCCACGACTTGGCACTGTGACATTCTTGCGGATCACATGGGCGTACTCCCCATCTGCAGGGGTAGCTGCTCCTGGTGATGCTGGATGCACAGGCAGGATGGGCTGTGGTAGGAACCGTGTGCAAAGGAGGATGAACCCTGGTCTGGCTCTTAGAGGAGAATACGGCAAGTCGGGATGCCAGGCTCCTGAGCCAGGCCTGGCTGTAACCACAGGGTTGTCTCCCGGAGGGCTCCATCTTTGTGCCATCCACAGGAAGGGGGAGGAGCTGTGGGTTGCGGCTGAATCGGCTGGGGAGGCATGTGTGCAGAAAGCAGGGCAGGGCGATTCAGCCAGAGGGTCCAGAAACTGCCAGGTCATGGACATACTCAGTAGCTGGTGCGGAAGCTTTCATGAAGGGGCAGCGGCGCGCCCTCCGCTCCCCCCAGAGCCAAGCCAAGTGAGAGAGAAGGGCAAGTTATAAAGGCAGGAATTAGAGAACTCTCTGGATTGACTGGCTGATCTATATAGGACAGAGATGGTGGGGTCCCAGTGCTTGCGCCCCTTTGGATACCGGCTACAGAGCCAGTTTTTCAGCTGCCAAACAGCTTTGCTGGGTATGGATATGGGGTGTGGTAGGGTGTAATAGTGTGTGCAGTAGGGTGTGAAGGCGTATGTAATAGGGTGTGAAGGAGTGTGCGATGTAGGGTGCTGAGGCCCCTTTTCTGGCACCTCTGTTGAACTGTTTGCTGAAGAGACCAGAGCGCTATCTTATCCTGAATTTGCAAAAAGCATTCCACCCAGTTAAGTTTCAAGAGGATTGTAAGTAAAGCCCTGAATGGAGGTGTGACTAGCTTCCAGCCAGCTTCCAAGAGATACTGATGATAAAGCTATTGGGTAGCTGGTTGCTACACTCACTTCTTTGCTGCTATGTATATTTAAATGCAGCATTTCAACACCTCTGCCCGTTTCCCAGCACACACATCCAAACCCAAACCTTGACAGTAAACAGGATTCTAGAATCCTTTACAGCTGCATGCCCTCCCTTGGGTTAACAGCTGGCCTGTGAGGGCTGAGCTTGGTGGGCAGAGAGTCTGGGTGAAATGCCGCAAGGCCTGGGGGGGTGAGGCCCAGCTGGCTATAACTGGACAAAACACAGCCGATCTCTGGCAAGTGCCTTCAGCGCACTGTGGTCCCTGAGCATCACACGGGCCTCGCTTCTGCCTTCTAATCGCCAGCAGGCAGCTGCGCGGGGGAAGGGGTGGCCGCTGACAAGCCTTACGAGGCTAGTTCTTTGGGGGTTGCTCAGAACTGGGCACACAGACAAGCTGCTCGCCCTGCAAACAGCTGATCGGGCTTTTTGTGTCCATCTGCACAGTCTCCTCTGTGCCCCAGGCTTGTCCCTGCCTCCCGCTGGTGTGCGGCTTCCACTCCAAGCCGCCATCCGAGGGTGGATTCGTGGCAGCTGCTGCACGAGGAGGGAAATCCTGCCTGTGTTTGGCCCTTGACATCTCCCGGGCCCAGATTCAGAGTAGTCTACCTGCCCTGCCCACTGCGCCACTCCCAGCCTGGAGCAGGGCAGGGGAAGGTTGTCTTAATGCATATGTACAGCACCTAGGGCAGCAGGGAGCATCACTTGCCTGGGGGTAGCGAGCTGGTGGTATAATGGGTCACCAGGAGGGAAATCCTGCCTGTGTTTGGCCCTTGACATCTCCCGGGCCCAGATTCAGAGTAGTCTACCTGCCCTGCCCACTGCGCCACTCCCAGCCTGGAGCAGGGCAGGGGAAGGTTGTCTTAATGCATATGTACAGCACCTAGGGCAGCAGGGAGCATCACTTGCCTGGGGGTAGCGAGCTGGTGGTATAATGGGTCACCTGTCCCGGCGCCTGGCTCAGAAGCCGCAAGCCATAAATATCTCCTGTGAGCAGATTTATTCTCCTGCCGATGGTTCTTTCGCTGGAGTGGATTATCTGGCACTGGGAATAAGGAATGGCTCTGCTGTCCTCTCCCAGGGCTGGAGAGAAATACGGCTCCAGACCAGGCCACCCCTGATGGCTCCTTTCCAAAGCTGAGCTAGGGCTCCGGGTTTGAGTTCTGGTGGCACGAGTGGACTCGACGCGAACAGAGTCAGAAAAGAGGCAGGGCCCAGGCCTAAGAGAGTGGAGCTGGGGTCTGAGGTCAATTGAGCAGGGCTTGGAGGGGAAGTGCAGTGCATTGCAGTGGGGCTGGGGTCTGAGGTCAATTGAGCAGGGCTTAGAGGGGAAGTGCAGCGCATTGCAGTGGAGCTGGGGTCTGAGGTCAATTGAGCAGGGCTTGGAGGGGAAGTGCAGCGCATTGCAGTGGAGCTGGGGTCTGAGGTCAATTGAGCAGGGCTTGGAGGGGAAGTGCAGCGCATTGCAGTGGAGCTGGGGTTTGAGGTCAATTGAACAGGGCTTAGAGGGGAAGTGCATTGCATTGCAGTGGGGCTGAGGTCAAATGAGCAGGGCTTGGAGGGGAAGTGCATTGCATTGCAGTGGGGCTGAGGTCAAATGAGCAGGGCTTGGAGGGGAAGTGCAGTGCATTGCAGTGGGGCTGAGGTCAAATGAGCAGGGCTTGGACGGGAAGTGCAATGCATTGCAGTGGAGGGGCAGAACAGGGTAGGGAAATGATTGTTCCATCCCACAGACAGGTTGGAAATTTGTTCCCTTCCTGAACCCTGGTGAAACATCATCTCCGCGTTTTTCAGATGCCGGGCGCCTGAAACGAACTCTGCGTCGGGTCAGCCCAAACATTTTGTCCTGAGGTCGACCTGTCTTGTGCTGGTTTCAACCTTTTAAAAAACAGTTTCCCAGGTATGAATGCCTGGCACTCTGCAATCAAACGGCCATGTCCAAAGGAAACTTTTTGTTAAAAACCTCCCAGAAATGTTAAAGTGTTCCCACCATTTCAGACGTTGTCTTTGAACAAAAGACAGGGCTCGTATGTTTATGGCAGGGCTCTTCTGAGACGGCCTGTGACAAGCCAAACCAGCGTGGAATATGCTGGTGAGGGGACAAGCGCTGAGAGAGGCACTCTCCGTTACTACAGGGAATGCTTTCCCAGGTCTTGCCTGCATGCTCGGGGCTAACAGGTCGCCATATTTGGGGTCAGGAGGAAATTCCTCCCTTGGGTCACATTGGCCGGGACCCGCGGAGGTTTTTGCCTCCTTTGCAGCCTGGGGCCCGGGTCACTTGCAGGTTGAACTAGTGTGAATGGTGGATCCTCTGACTGATTTGACATCGGTCACTCTGCCGGCGGCGAGCAACCTGTCACTGGAGTGGGTGAGAGAGGCCCTGTAGCCTGCAACTGGTGGCAGGCCAGACTAGATGATCATGGTGGTCTCCTCTGGTCTGAGCCTGAGTCGAGCCCTAACCTAGCCAGAGCCTTGGGCCCTTTAAATTGCTTCCGCAAGCCCCATGTGGCGTGGTGTGCTGTGGATGGGGGGGCGTGGCGTGGCTCAGGGGATACCCCACCCACCCTTCCACTCATTGACCAGCCCCTTCCAGGAGGGTGGAGCCTCTCCCCCCTTGCCCAGGGGCCCAGCAAGTCTATTGGCTGGCCTGCTGCTGGTGCCGGCTCTGGAGAAACCCGGCCTGAGCCGGGAGCACTTGGCAGTAGTCTCCAGCCAAGCCCTGCAGGGTTCCCTCTGCTCCTGAGGGCCGTGGGTCCCAAGGCCAGAATGGACTGATCTGATCACCTGACCCGCTGCAGCACAGCGGCCGGAGAATTTCAGCATCCTATGATGATGGGTGCACCTGTGAGCCCCTCGTCAAGGATCAGGGCCCCACTGAGCTGGGCCCCGCCCATACAAATAACGCAGAAGCCTGTCCTTGCTGGCGAGGGGTCAGACGTGTAGGGCTGGACGGGATCTCAGTGAGCTGCGGCTGGATGAGGGATCTGCTCGGACAGAGGGTGAAGGGGAAGACGCAGTCACAGCTGGGCAGAAAACCAGACCACTCCCTTTGCTCCTTCACATAGAAAC